GAAAACACTAAGGTAAAAACTAGAATCAGCTACAATGCGAGGAAAAAAATCAAAAATTTCGAGAACATCATCTCTCATGTTGACGGAAACGAGGATCCARTGATCATCATCTTTGTGGACAGGAACGAAGATAATATCGTAACGAAGCAAATCTACGTTTTTAGCCCACCGCTGCACCCCACCGTGTCCTTGAAGTCGCAGTTTACTGAAGAAGAACGAATTAAAGCTGAAGACTTGAAGGCCTGAAGAGATGTCACGTGACCCACATGCGGTTGACCCCAACAACGCCATATAGAAATTGACCACCTCATCATTCACCCTGCCGTTGACATGAACGAGGGTGAGGAGATTTTTTGCTGCAACCCGAAATTGACCATCGCCCAGTATGGAGAGAATAGTGTTAGACGGCACCGAGCCTCGTACAATGTCATCCAAAACCCGCAAGCTCAAAGGCGCAATCGTCGCAGCGAAACTTTTCCCGGGTGTTGCACTTGTTGCCCGCACTGCACAACATCGAGCAAAGGACACGTGGGGTAGTTAGAAATGGAGTACTAGACATTATCCCCCAGTGCATGACGCGTTGCTAAGTACTTCTCATACATGGCCTGACCCCTGCTCACAGATCATGGATATGTCCCTTTCTCTGGGGCAAGAAGGGAAAAACATTCCTCAATGACAACGGTGTACTCCTTCTTCCCGATCTTGACATCAACCTCTGATGCCTTTAACATATAATTGTGTTTTTTACTCAACCCGGGGACTTTCTGCAATATGTGCTCTGGATATTTGGAGGACCTCCCTGTTCGAGACGACACCACCCCTGTACAACAGAAGAAAGACAAAACGAAAAATGAGAACCATACATTCGTACASACGCAACAGTCAAGCAGGACCTTTYCKACCACAGGACCCTGATCTCGCGTGGTCATGTGCACCCAGGTGCGGTTGTGCAACTGGAAAACAAAATGACTGCAACATCCGAGCTTATCACCCCCGCACTTCGCAAARAAAAACCACCACAACTCACAGAAGTCGGAGGCCAGCAATCCGCGAAGCTCGGACTGCGGCGGACTTTTGAACACACCAGCCCCACTAGGACTGACCACATCACGCATTGACAAAGGAAGTTCGGATCCCGGTGAACTAAAACCGGCACTATTCCCGAAAAGGGAAAACTGTCAGTCCATGTACTTGGCCACTTTCTTAGCACCTTGGCCTACAGTCAAGCAGGACCTCTATGACCATAGGACCCTGATCTCGCGTGGTCATGTGCACCTAGGTGTGGTTGTGCGACTGGAAAACAAAACAACTGCAACATTCGAGCTTATCACCCCCCGCACTTCGCAAAGGAAAACCACCACAACTCACAAAAGCCGGAGGCCAGCAATCCTCGAAGTTCAGACTGCGGCGGACTTTTCAACACACCAGCCCCACTGAGACTGACCACATCACGCATCGACAAAGGAAGTTCRGATCCCGGCGGACTAAAACCGACACTATTCCCGAGAAGGGAAAACTGTCWGTCCATGTACTTGGCCACTTTCTTAGCACCTTGGCCACTTCCTCARCCGGGGCAGATCCTTCCTTGGATGGAGTGTAAGGTTTTGGACGAAGTTTTCGCCGCCCTCGACTAGCAACCCGGCC